TTAGTATATCTATGGCAGTGAGACAGGGGAAGAAATGCATGGGTGGGCCCTGGATTCTGGGTGCATAACTGAACAGAATGTGAAGTACAGTCTGGGGCTGGCTACATAGAGTGGGTTAGGTGAGTTTGTATTAATTCACTCACCAATCAGAGCAACTCAGCCCCAGAATGGATTTCTAAACAATTCTGGCACACTTTTGGGTTGTTTTCACAACCACAAAGAAATCTTGTGATGAGGCAATGCGAATGGAACCCTTTGAATTCTAACTTTTTGTAGAAGACCATTATGTAACCAGACAACTCTGTTGTCTTTTGGCATGTTAGATTGGAATCTAGTTTTAAATAGTAAATTGCTTTGCTTCTCTATGCACATACAGTTGCCCTGTATCTGAAAACACATAGAGTGACCACTATCCAGTTGAGGAAAAAAATGTTTGGGTCAAGAATCTAGGGACTTGCCAAAGACTTATAAAATGTACTACTAAAACATCAAACCAAAATAAAATATATTTTATTTGGTCTTTCGTTGTTTGCTAAGTCATTTGGGTTTACTTTATTGAAGACTAAGCATCTGGGGTGTTATTTTTCCAACTGTTTGTCTATTTAATGCTTAGATGATTATTAAGTTTATATAGCAGCACAGTGATTTGGTACAGACAAGTGAGTGGTGGCCTTGGAGTCTGAAAAGTATTTGTCCCATCTCTGACACTTTTTAGCCATGTAAATCTGGGCAAGTCATTTGAGCTCTACATGGCTTCCTAGAACTAAACAACTAAGTTATAGATGGGCATTTGTCTTGATGAAATAGTCCTTATACCAGGAGCTCCCTCCACTAACAAAATCGTAGATCCTTCAAGTCAGAGATCCTTCGAAGGATGTTAAGATTATAATCACACATTTGTTTAGGGTACCCCCCAAATATCATAGCATTATTAGAAGACCTGGAGAGTTGAACCTTAATCAAGTTTGTATATTGTTCAGTATTTCATAGGTCAAACTGCCACCTTTCCCTCTCTACAGAGATGCAGGAAGAATAAACTAGGTTTCTTGTAAATTGGTCCTGTATATTTTGGAACATCTCAGACGGTCTACTAATGACTTAAATCATGTCTTCAGATTTACAGATAGGCATTACTACTTATTTTGTCAGGAACTAAAGTCAGGTACTATGCATATGTAGAATCTAAGGTAGGCTTGTTCCTTACAAATGTGTCTTCTGTTACTGAATTGAGAATGAAATTGATCAGGATTCCCAGGCTTTTGGTGTGACAAAATGATTCACTTAATGTGCTTTTCTTCTGTAAGTCTCTTGCACAACTGAACATCAGTTGTTAGAAGGGGAGTATCAAAGTCTGTGGATTCACAAATTAGTTCAGTCTTTGTGAAACTGAGTCAGCGCACGAACTTTTACAAAGAATGTCAGGAAAAACAACATTGAAATATATCAAGACTCTCATTAATGCAGTGATCAATTTTGATTTCAAAGGTCTGATGGCTTCCCTTTTTTTAGCAGCAAAGTAGTGGGTTGTACATGCAGGCAATACATTGTCAGACATGGTCGATGTATCAATTTGTTATATTTATATTTATTTATTTAGTTATATTTAGCTGTACTTCTTTGTTACAAGGAAGGATTTTATTGAGAGCTGAGTGAGAAAATATGGGTGGAAAGAGTCTTGGGGAGGTGACAATGATGTTTTTAAAAAGAACATCAATAAAACCTTTGTTTTTAAAAAGAAAGAAATTAAATGTTAAGTTTTCTGCCCACCACAAAAAGAAGGCTTGCTTTTCAAAAAACTCTACATCCCAGATGTAACAGTAGTTCCCAGTGTAATGAGTTAAGTGGGTAATCATGGGTTATCCAGTCAAGCAAATAGATTCCAGTGCAAGCTTTCCAGAGTAATTTCAAAGTTATTTAATTTCTGAGAGTATTTTTGAAGTTACTTTGTTCCTCATGTAACATGTAGCTGAATATATGGAGCTCTGGGTTCAAAATGGGTTTACATTTTATGCTTTTCAAAGTAAAATCAACACACAGTAAAGTGGAAAACTTTTCAGGTTTTCTAAACTTGTTAATTGCTGTGATTCATATTTTTGTGTCCAGTTTTTAAATGTGACATGTGAGAAAAACCCCAGCTACTGAGACATAGGAAGATAGGAATCAGAAGATAAGGTCCTTGGGGGCAAGGACTGTCTTTGCCTCTTTTTGTATCCCCAGTGCTTAGCACAATGTGTGGCATGTAGTAGGTGCTTAATAAATGTTTGTTAAATGATTTTTGAGCTCAAAGGGAACTTGTCTCATCCACTTTGGATAATCCTCAAAGCCAAATACTATGTCCCAGTTATATCTATCATATATGTCTATCACATATATATATATATATATATATATTTTTATATACACATTCTGAGACAGTGTCCAGTGGTAGTCCAAAGCACCACCTCTACCCTTTTCTTTCCCCTACCTTCAAAACTCCCACCCCACCCCTGATATCCTCCTATCTCCCTGTCTGAAATCTCCATTTGCTTTCATATTTAAAGATATTATGTTTCCTGTAAGGTACTATCTTAGGAAACTTTCATATGTTTGAGGTTAGACCAAAAAGGATAGTAAGTTGCCTAGAAGAAGTAATTGAATGGGACCTTAGAAAAATTAGGATTAGAGATTGGACTTGTGATTTTATCCATATAGGGTAACATGGATCCATCCCCATGAGGATCCTCTCTCTACCAATGTAGGTCAACTTCTCTGTAACTTATATTTTTAGAGAATGCTGTCTCTGAATAATGTATTTCAAAAACAGGATAACTTTCTTTCCCCTTTAGTCAAAGAAGTACCTCTGTCATAGTGGCTAAAGAGCTAACCTTAGAGCAAGGAAGATCCCAGCTCAAGTCCTACCCCCGAAACATATTAGCTATGTGACCCTGGGCAAGTCACTTAACCTCTTAATGCCCTAGGCAACTCTCTGGGATTATAAATTGCAAAGGAATCTGAGTTGGTAAAGGGGGCTTCCACATCTTGAATTTCTTTATTTGAATGAAATCCCAGATCCAGCCTTATCCCTTCATTACTAGGAACTTATTCAGTCCTTTGAGAGGCTGAAGTTGATTGGAAAGTGGAATGTTTTAATAGAAAACTTTAAAATCTTCTAAGCCTAGTAAGAAACTTATTTAGTGTTTACATGGCACAAAAAGGACATGGTTCTAGTTCCAGGAATGTCATTAAATATAAATAACATTGCTGTCACCTTAGTTGAACAAGTTGTGTAATTTCTCTGAGCTTTTATTTCTCATCTGCAAAATGAGAGGATTGGACTCCAGGCCTGCTAAGGCCCCCTTTCCAACTCTAAGATCTAAGACCCTCTGATAAAGATGATCTCTAAGGTCTCTTCCAACCCAAGAATTTTGTGATTTGATGGATTTTTGTTATTGTTATTGAAGCAATTGAGGTTAAGTGACTTGCTCAGGGTCACACAGCTAGTAAGTGTCATGTGTCTGAGGTCAGATTTGAACTCAGATCCTCCTGACTCCAAGGCCAGAGCTTTATCCACTGCACCACCTAGCTGCCCCTGATTTGATGGATTCTTAATGCTTCATGATGATATAATAGTGGAAAACAAAAGGGTATTTATGGACTTGTCTCACTCCACTACTCATTCCCAAACATAAGGATTTCATGAATATGGTGGGGGAAAAAAGAATCGATGTGATAGATATAAAAACTAGGCTAAAACTATGTTTCTATATAGAGAATAAAAATTCTATATGTGACAGCTCAACTACCATAGTATTTTCACTCATCTTATTTATGCATTTTATTTACATAATTTGAAAGGACCTATGGTTCTTTCTCATCTAAATCTTAACTCACTAGGGTTTGTGTATTGGTTTTAGCTATTCTTTTTGGTTTAAGGCTTATTTATGATTTCCTAAGTGAGTTAAGTATTGTAAAATGATGGAATTTAAAATTTTAGATGCCCCTCCCCATAATCCAAAAGCCTTGGAGGGAAAGTGGCCTATTCAAGAAGAGCAGGAAGATTTAAATACATTATTCTGTTCTTCCCAGGACTTGAGGAAATTACATTAATTTTGGAATCACTTGGGTACCATTTGGAATGGTAATTTCTAACCTGTGTTTTGTGCCTCTTCAGAATACCTCCAGTTATAACAAATGATGTCCCTTAAAACTCTCAAATGTAATTAATTTTCATTCATTTTAATTTAACAAATGTATGTAATAGAGCACTTTGGAGGAAGTATGGAGGTGTCACAGAATCAAACGAATTCCAGTACATAATGCATAATGCATCTCTCCCAAACAGGAGATTACTGATTCATTACAGTGCTCCTGTATATTAGCTGTTACACTAAGAACTTCGTATCAACAATGCACTTTCATAAATGTCCGGTTTTACATGTTGAATGACTTTGACATTGAAGAATATTGAATTAAGGATTTGTATCCTTTTTGAGGAGGCTGATAAGGTTTATCCAAAGGAAATTACTGTAGAACCCTGGAGATAGACTAACTTGCATTCATTCAATTTTATCATCTTTGGCAATCAGTGATGAAAATTACATTTATAGATGAAATCCACAAATAATCCAAAAAACACGTTAGCTTTATCCTTTTCTGCATCCCAACCCCCTACTAGAGCTGCTAACAAGTAGAGAACTCGGATGGTTTCATTTTAATTTCCTGTCCCCTCTCCCCGACTTGAATCACATCTGAATTTGTCCTAATGAGTAATGAAATAGTCTAAAGGTGACAAGAGGAAGAAGACAAAATATGAAAACTGGGTAATTATAAACTGTATATATATTCTCCAGTAACTGAAAGTTTACTCTTACCTCTTTCTACCTCTCAAATATCCCTTCTTTCTTCTCATCTCTCTCTTCCTTCTTTTTTTCCTCCCATCTTTATCTCTTCCCATCCTTTTCCTTAATGGAACTTGATGTTATGGTGTCACTGATATTACTATTGTTTCTTCCCACCTGTAGCTATCTTAACGACTTGGACCGTGTAGCAGATCCTGCCTATTTGCCTACTCAACAAGATGTCCTTAGAGTTCGTGTCCCCACCACAGGGATCATTGAATACCCCTTTGACTTACAAAGCGTCATTTTCAGGTAGTAATCTAGTCCCTGAAACCCGTTTTCTAAGTCTTATATTATGTGAACTTTTTGTGAATTTTGTAAATACTGAAAGTTTGTATAGGTCGAAGGAAAGCATATGAGCAAAACTGATTAACTTTGGATTTATTTTAACGTGTACTTTAATTATCATGGTGATTCTGATGATTATAAATACTCTTTCCTTTTTACTTTGATTTATGAGCCTGTCAATAGAGAAATTGTTTATTATAAAGATTTTCATATTGGCTTTCCTTAACTTAATTTCTATTACCGTAGGATTTTCGACTTAGACACTCTTGACTGAATGAACCTCCTTTATGGTTGGTTGAATACTTCCTTGAAGGCAGATATAGAAGAAAGTTTATGTTTGCAGGAAGTGGAATTACATCCAGTTGCACAAATACTGGTTCTACTCCTAAATAAATCTAGAATCAAATTAACTGTAGAGGAATTTGTCCATTATTGAAAGTACATAAGATATATTTGATGCTTTTATGAGGAGAAATTGTATGTTACAAAGATTTTCATATTGTGTTTCAGTCAACATTACTTCCTCTACCAAATGCAGAATTTTCGACCACTAATACAAATAACATGAGCTTTTTTTACATTTCTTTATAAGGTTGAGTGTTTAGGAATGTTCGTAACATTTGCATGTAGGATTAGTTAGCCTCATGTTGCAGAGCAAATGAGAAAGGAGCTATACTTCCCCCCCCACTGTTTGTTTTTGTCCAATGATAATTTAGCAATAATATTATGGGTTTTTTTTTTCACAAACAAGGGGAAATAAACAATACAGAGCTATGTCTCTTTAATCTCTTCTTCCATAATCATTTGATTGTACTCTTAATTAGAATCCAACTTTCATTGTACCTTGAGAAATGGAGAGATGGTATCTATGGTCATATACTACCTTGAATATACGTCTAAACAAGAACATAAAGTTCATTGGGGATGTATATTCTGCCAGTATGCCTGAAAAGAAAATATAGGCTCATTAAACCCAGTCAGGTCTTCCATCACCCCATAACAACTTAGGATCTGCTCTTTCTAAACTAACTTTCACTCTGCCACCAGTCACTAGAAGAGCTGTGCCAGTAAAATAGTGACGAAGTGGAGTAGCCCCTTAGTTTTGAAGACACAGCATTTTAGAGGTCTGTATTTTAACATCTATGTTTTAATTATAAGTCAATATCACAGAAGATTTTGAGAAACAAAAGCGGTAGCGATTTCATGGAGATTTTGATCTTCAAAGCACTTGACACGTATGAACTGACTGATCATCAATCCAGTTTATTCTTTATCTTACATTTCACATTTTGCCAGTTCATCAGTCCATGCACTTTAGTTATGTGATTTCACTCTAGAAAATGTAATATGTAAGAAGGACAATCAAATGCCACCATCAACACAGTTTTTTTGTGGGATTGATCTGGAAATAAATTAGATGGGACAAAGACTCTACTCCAGTTCAGATGCGAACACCTAAGAGCTGTTTTTTTCTTTGTTTGTTTTTCCCCCAGTTTGGGATCAGCGAGGAGTCAGTGTTTTAACATTTACACTAGTCTACATAGTCCTAAAAAATTCTATTTTGATGACTACCCCCCCAATCATTATTCTCTTTATCTTTATTGTCTATCCTCTTATGTCCTCTTCTTTACTATCTTCAGAATAACATTTATAGAGTTCTTTACAGATTTCAAAGCCCTTTCCTTCCAATGATCTTTTGAGATAAGTAGTGCAATTACTATTAAAATTATTAAATGAGGAAACTGAGGTCCAGGGAGCTGGTGACCTTCCTAAATCATGTGGATACTAAGTGATAGAAATTGGCACTTAAACATAGGTCTGTTTCTAAGTCCAGTTATCTTTCTTCTTGTACCCTGCTCCTAAAGTCAGAGTTTACGGAAGCATTCTTTAGATCTTTTATTTATATACAGTTCTATAAACCAAAAGTCATTATACTAAGATGAATTCTTTAAAAGTCTTACTTTCTAACTTCTACATTTAACTTATTTTAGTGGAAGAATTTTAAGAATTTTATTCTTTTGATTATGCATTCACATCCACATTTGAATCCGGCATCATTCATCATAACGAAAACACACACCTAGCCTATGCCATATTTGTGAGGGCCTTTTCCTTATGTCCAAATAGTCAAATCACTGAATCATTCCACAGAGTTTTCTGCTTCCTGGCTGGCTATTTATGGTAATGTGGGATCCCCACAGTTTAGAATTGTGGCTCATTTGTTGACTGCAATCCTAGCTACATGACTTCCTAGCATATTTGTTTTCATGATGGTCTGCCTTCGATCATCTACTATCCATGACTTTCCATCATTTGTACATCATTCTTTCCATTAAATACTGGGTATATACATACTGCTGCTATTCACATTTTGTGTTAGATCAGTATTCCAGTATGTTAACCATCATCACAGGCATCCCTGTACAGTTTAATATTTTTGCTCTGATTGTTATGGTGATACCCAATCAATCAATATTTTCTAATGTGGCATTGGGCCACTTTGCATTCTCTGGTTCATTTTGTTCATATTATTATCTTGCTGAATTTAGTGACTAAGGTGCATATATTTCACTACTTTCTTGATCTTTAAGACTATCAGTTTAGATACCCCATAAAGCCCCTACAGATTTTCTTGGAATTCTAAGAGATCACTTACTTGCTAATAAAGGGAGGAAGGAGAGAGAGAGAAAGACAAAGAGAAAGGGAAGGAGACAGAGAGAGAGAGAGAGAGAGAGAGAGAGAGAGACCTGAGATGTTTACCATCAATTATTACTTCATTTCCTAGTCAAAGCAATGGAGTCCTGTCTCTAAGGTAGCCATAAATAATGTTAGGAAAAGTATATCTTCTTGTTGCACCCCTTTGTAGATCTTGATTTGACCCAGTTCTATATAAAGCTTTCTTGCTTTCAGTTGTTATCTGGTATTTATTTTCTCAACAAAGTCAACATTCTGTGGATTTACTCTGCTCTCACATGGTACATTTCAATCCTACCATTTCCCCTAACAGAAGTTAATTTCCTCTTATAATGCACACAGACAAAATATTCAGAGACTTTTTGGTCTGTACCTTTTTACTGAAATTACCAAATAGTATGTATACAATCCATGATTTAAAAAAAAGCTGGCTAAAAAACCTTCATGTGTGTAACAGGTATTTTTCTCTAAATCCTTCTTATTATGTGGAATGCTATAATCCTTTGCTTAGTGTTTGTTTGCTTAGCTCAGGGGAATTTAATGCATTTGACAATATTATTTCTGTTTAACCTTCATTCATGATATAGCGTATTAGGTTAACTAATACGGCTGTCCAAAGAGCTTTAGTATTGGTCCCATATCAGGACCCTATTGCTCAACCTCCTGGGTTGTTGAATGGCCAGACAGTGGAAAAGCTGCTACAACAGGAGTCACTTTCCCCCTTTGTCATTTCCTCTCTTCCAGCCTAGGCTATCTTAGAAGAGGTGAGAAAACATAGATGCATCAAAAGAAATCCATCACACTATTGTAATGGTAAATCAGACTGAATGGTAGCAGGACCAGTAACAACATCTTCCAAGTTAAAAGCCAATAACTATTTCATTAATTAGTTGGCGTCCTTATAAAACAGATCAAAATTTTAATGCCTTTATTATAGGAGAGGAAGCTAAAGTTCAATGTTTATCTCCAGGATGTTTAACATGTGGTAAACCCAGGCCTAAAACTTAGAAATTTCTGACATTTCACTTCTGAGTTCTCATTGGAAGAATCCATATGGCAAACTTGACAGTAAATGTGAACATATTAAAAATTTAAATTGATTTTATTTTTTGTTCCAAATTCTCTCTCACTCCTCCCCTACCCATTGAAACAGCAAAGAAAAAAAAATTACAAACATGTATAATCATGCAAAACAAATTTAATGTGGACATTTTTCAAAAAAAAAAATCATTTGCAAGGAAATTTAAATTTGTTTCCAAGTTTATGTACTTTATTCCTTATGGAAGATATAGAAATGTACCATATACTTTTGTTCAACAATCTTTTCAGGCTAGAAAAAAAGACAGGATGTTGTATTGTATCATACACAAAGATACAACTATCTTTTGAATATTTGTGTTCAGAAGGTGTTTATGACACACAAGGTATTTCCTATTGTGCGTATGGCCAAAGACAGAATACTAAAGTTTTGCTCTTATTTCATGTCAGGGTCATGTACTTTATTGTTTTTACTTTAAGAGTACTGTAGCCACTTAAATGCATAATCATTGATGTGTATGAGTTTTATTGAACTCAAAAAAACAGGGAAACAATTCTCCCCTTTTTATCACATATAAATTATTATTAAATAATATAGTTAATTCTGTTTTCTGGCATTCAGTTGACTAGAAATCACTATTATTAACCAGACCCTTTTACTTTGAAAGTGTGGTAATTATCGATGTTCATAAAGGTATCCTTGAGGCCACCCTAAAGACAAATGCCTTTGTATCATTAAAGAAATATTAAATTATCTTCGCTATGGTTTTAAAACTAGGTATATTTTATTTTCTTGGATTCTGTCTTTTAAAACTGGTTATCTATGTAGTGATCAACCATCATTCCAGAGGTCCAATTTTGAAAAATGCCACCCACATCCTAACAGAGAGGCAATGGGCTAATATGTAAATAAGACACACATTTTTGGATATAGCTACTATGGGAATTTGTTTTGATTTACTATACTTATTTTCTACATAGATTTTGTTTTTCCTTCTTCTTTTCCAGTGGAGGATTCTTGGAGGGAGGAAAAATGCTTGACAACTGAAAAGAAATTAATTAAAAAATAAAAAGAATGATAATAAAACTAGCAATCTATGTATGATATATGTCATAGTTTTCTATTAGCTAGAATATTTGATTACTCAAAATGTTCTTCTCTCCCACCTTGCCATACAAGCTGGCATTCATTCAGTGACTTTTTGTTGAATTTAATATCACTTTCTGAAAAACAAATTGTTTCTTTTTTTAAATTACACCCCACCATTTGTGTTAGTGAACAAAATTCCCTAAATAAATGTGTATTGATTTTTCTTAAGTTTTCCTTACCTGAGATTGATCTGTATATTTTCAACCTTACAGAATGGTGGATGTTGGGGGCCAGAGATCAGAAAGAAGAAAATGGATACACTGCTTTGAAAATGTCACCTCTATTATGTTCCTAGTAGCCCTTAGTGAATACGATCAAGTTCTTGTGGAGTCAGACAATGAGGTAAGTGCACACTGGGAAACGCAATTGATTGTATTCTTAGTATGTGGTAGAAGTGATGGTGGTGGTGTGTATGTCTTTGTGGGTGTGAGAAAAAGAGAGGAAGAGAGAGAGGACAGAAGAGACAGAAACTTTCTCCTGATGTCTTGATAGATGACTTTGGGACCTAGTTAATATACAGCAAAAAGTCCAGTATTAATCCAGTTTAGATGCCTGTGTATACTAAGACTTTTGAGATACCGTATTCTGTGTGTGTGTATATATATATGTTTGTATACACAAATATGTATGTATATGTGCACATATATAGTGTATTTATACATGCATATGTGCACGTATATAGTGTGTTTATACATGTATATATGTGTAATTTGACCACATAACATATGCATTTATATGTCCTAAATCAATAGTCCATTTTACCAGGATGTATGAGCAGATGTGTTTCCAATTTTAACTTTAACCCCTTACAATCACTTTACTTCAATAAACACTGAGTACCTACTATGTGCCAGGCACATTGACAGATGACATTGGCAGCCATGTGGAGGTCAGTATGATAACCTTAAGATAATTTTGCATGCATCCCCCTTGAAAAGTAGATTTGGGGAGCTTATGGCATGGTTATTAACAGTCAGATGTAATTGTTTATTTGTTTTTTTGTTTTTGTTGTTGTTGTTGTTTTTTTTAACAATTTGCTAGTGATGGACAGGTAGTCCTTGAAGAGTCCTTGAAGCTTGATTTCCTTGAAGCAGGAATTCTCTAGAACATCACATCATTAAATTTGTGCTAAATTTTAAGGAATTTGTTCTCATGTCTTGAATCTGTGAGCAAAAAGATGAAAACAAGTGATACACTATTGTGAAGAGTTATTCCTCAACTCTAGTTTAAATTGTATTGTAACTGTTTTCTCTGTACATGAGAAGATGTTAGTTAAAAGTGTTTTACATGGACTGTGTGACCAGGCGTAAGTCACTTAATCACTTAAGTCTGAGCCTTTGGTTGGTGGCAGTTACTCATGGTGAATATGGGACCTATTTTTGTCATGTTACCTTAGCTGAATAAATCTTCATAACTCAGGGTCTAGCAGAGTGTGTGTGTGTGCATGCAACATGGACTAAATTTTGAAGTTTCCTCTTTTGTGAACATGATTTAGGCACAATTCCCTTTACTAATGCTTTGCAAGCTAATCAGGATTTCCAGGGTGAACTTATGTTCAGGATGTTGAAAGATAATGTCTGGTGGAATAGTTAGTTCTGATCCAAAAGGGATTCTTGTTGAAAAGAAGAGGAAGCTCTTTGCCCTAAAGAGTTAGAATCCATTAGGAAAACTTAGTCTGCTGTTTGCAAAAGATCATATGTCTCTAATATAGACATTGAGTTACCTTTTTTAAAGGTTAGACTATGCGCAAAAATTAGTTCTGGATCTTTTAAGGCTGACTGCGATGAAGCCTGGTATATTTTCTGTGTTTACTCTTAAGGAAATACATGTTCACAAGTCATGCAAAAGCTGCTGGACTCTCAGGTCATTTTATTTTTCTGTTTCTTTTTTTTTTTAACTGAAATTAAAATCCTGTCTACAATATACATGTAATTCAACATAACTTTGCCTTCTTTGTATATCCTTGTTAAAGGTTGCATAAATCCCTTATATAGGTCTAAATCCTGAACATATTTAAAGTAAGATGTAAGGTATTGACTGTATGTTTAATGTATGATATCCATTGCCTGAATTTCCTCTGCCTTTGGATTTCAAAAATTTTTCTATGGTTCTTGTGATAAATATCTGGTCTTTCAGATCAAGGAAATGCTTCTTTCTAAGAATGTGGTTTGTTCAGTTGTCCAACTGCCAGCTCTTGGGATAATTCTTCTCCTTCCCACTAATAGATTGTTCCCTAGCAATAAAGAAAAGCAGCTAGACAAAGCCAGCTGTGCATCTGATAACTTGTACTGTAGGCCACCACCTCTTTTCCAAAAAGAAGGAAATGTGCTTGCTTATCAGTCCTCTGGAACCAAGGAAGATTAGTCATTCTATTTGATCTGAATTCTGCTGCTTTTTAGTATTGTTTTTCTTTATAATATTATGGTTAGTATACGTGTTTTTTCCTTGATTCTGTTTTCTTTGGTCTCATAGTTTCAGTAAATCTTCCCATGCTCCTATGACTTCTTTATTCATCCTTTCTTATATACCACAGTAATATTACATTGTATTAATATAATACATAATTTATTTAGCTATTCATTTCTCACTTGGTAAGTACCTACTTTGTTTCCAGATTTCCAGAAATGCTGCTCTAAATATTTTGGCACATAATTGAGGGGGGAGATATTTTAAAAAAAGAAAAGAAAAGTTCAATACCAAAAAAACCCCAAAATATTTTGATACATATGGGACTTATTTTTCTATCTTTCACCTCGTTTGGGGCATATGCCCTACTAGAAGGATTGCTGGATCAAATGGTCTAAAACATTTAGTAACTTTTTTAAAAGTGTATCATTCTAAATTTATTTTCCAGGACATTTGAACCAATTTGACAGCACCACCAACAGCATCTTAATGAGTTCTTCCAACTTTGACTATTTCTATCTTTTGTCATCTTTGCCAATTTTCCGGGTTTAAGGTTAAATCTCAAGGTTGTTTTAATTTGCAGTTTTTTGTTATCCAACTTCCATATGCCTAGTACCCTACAGCTTAATTTAAAACAAATGAAGTGCCCATACCCAAAGTCAAAAAGCAAAGAGGAAGAATAAAAGAACCTGAATAACTACTGTAGAGTTTTAAATCAGACAGTTTCTCATATCTGTTTTTTAAGTTTGCATGTTTTATTTGTGTCTTGTATCTCTTCACTGTTTACACATTTTATACTTGTGGAAAGAGGTTTGACAAGATTTGGCAATGGATTAGATGCAAGAGCTGCTGGATTCTCAGTTCATTTTAATTTTCTGTTTCATTTTTTTTTAACTGAAATTAACATCCCATCTACAATATACATGAAATTTAGCATAACTTTGACTTCTACATATAGCCTCAATAAAGGTTACATAAATCCTTTAGACTAAATCCTGAACATATTTGAAGGATGAAAGATGAGAAGGATTCTTGGATGACTCTGAGGTTATGAATCTGAGGTTAAGATCAAATGAAATAATAATTTGTAAAGTGCTTAGTACAGTACCTGGTGCATAGTAGATGTTTATTACATCCATCCATCCTGCAAACTTGTCTCGGAAGATGGTGGTGTCTTTCACAGAAATAAGGAAGTTTAGAAGAACACTGGGTTTTATGATATTTTCATTCTGAACATGAGTTTGATATGCCTGAAGGACATCCAGGAGATAATCCATGGGTAGTTGACAGTATATCAGTGGAATTCAAGAGAGAGGTTATGACCAGTTATATAAATTTAGGCATCATCTGTGCAACAATTATACTTGAACCTGTGAAAACTGATGATATTTAAGAAATTGTATGTGAAGAGAGGAAGAAGAGAGCTTGAAACAGAGCTCTGGTGGTAGGGGATGGATGATGGCCTAACAAAAGAGCCTAAAGAAGGAGGGATTGGACAAGCAACAGAAGCTGGAGAAATCACTATCGAGGAAACCAAGGGAGGAGAGGGAAATGCTGCTTATTGTTCTGACCATATCTTCATGCTCATTCCTATTGGTAATGCGAGAACATTATCATAAACCTGTTTCCATCTGGACATTTGTTCTGAATTATCCTTATTTGTAAAGGTCTACCTCTCACCATCCCCCCTAAATCATTTGAGGATGCTCATAACTAAAGAGTTTTGTTTTTCCTAAGGCTTAAAAATATGTTCTGTGCATGGTAGGATAAAAATGAAAAGAAATTTCTGAGACATTATCCTTGGGTTTGAAATCTTGTGTTCATCATTTTCATCTAAACAGATTTCTTTCTTTATTCCTCACCTTGTATATACTTACAAAAATGGCCCGAGAACAGATTTTGATGCATCCATTCTTTTCCTAGGAAGATGGAAAGTGTGAACAACTGAGAGCTGAAAGGGTAGAGGAACGGAGGCTTTGGGTTGGGTCTCTGTTTTTGATTTAAAAAAAAAGGTAATTCTCTGAGTACCTGGTGCCTTATACTTTAACTCTTGTATTGATGTGCTTTTGTCTGTTCTAACTCAACTACACTAGTGGATTTTTCAGGAACTTTTTGATATAAATTTCTGCCTTTGCTCCATTCTAAAAAACTCCTCATTTGATCCATGTATCCTATCATCTGTCTCATTTCTCTCCCCTCTTTTGTGGCCTAACTCCTTGAAAAGGCCATCTGTATAATTGGTGCATCCCCTTCCTTTCCTCTCACTCTTAACTTTCTTCAGTATAGTTTCTGACCTCATCATTCAACCAAAACTGCTCTCTCCAAAGTGACTCGTAATCTCTTAATTGTCAAATCTAAAGGCCTTTTCTCAGTCCTCATCCCTCTTGACTTCTCGGTAGCCTTAGACATGATTGATCACCCTCTCCTCCATGATTAAGTTTTTATAGCACTACCCCTGGTTTTCTCCCTACCTATCTGACTCTTCTTTCTCAGTGTTTCTCATCAGCTTCCATAGATTCAATTATAGTCTCTAATGATTCTTAAATTTACTTATCCAACCCTAATTTCCCTGCTGACTTCCAGTACCACATCTCCACCTGCCTATTGGACGTCTTAAGCTCTATGCCCTTTATATATCTTACATTTAACATGTGCAAAATTCAACTCAGTATCTTTCCTAACAAACTCTTCCCTACGTCGTTACTGTTGAGGGTACCAACTTCTGCCCAGTCACTCTGGCTTGCAATCCCAAGGGTTGTCCTTGACACTTCCCATGTCCAAGTTGTTACCGATTCTCATCAATTCATCAGATCACTCACCTACGCCCCCCGTTTCTTCTGACACTGACCTTTCCCTGGTAGGGGCCTTTGCCACCTTACTTGATGACTCTGCCTCATTAAACTAAATCCAATTCATGCACAAGTCAGGATATCACC